AAACATTATATAAAGAATTTTGAGAAAAATTTTTATCAGGTATATCTGTCTCTTTCCTCTTTTTTCTTTCACAAAGAGTATACACATATAATCTAATAAAAAAATGTACTAGATGTTTTATAAAAGAACAGTAAGAAATACTGAAGCAATATATTGATAATAGATTCGATCAGAAATTGCTATAGATTAGCAGTGCTTTATCTTCGTATTAAACTTGTGTTAGTAAAGCTTGCTAGCATAATTTAATAAGTAAAGTATTGTTAATTAAATTAATTGAAGATATGATTGATTGCACCAACTAAATTTTCAATGGGAATGTACAAGATTTTCATGGAAATGGAAGAGAAAAATAGAACTTATCTTCTTGTGAAAGCAATATAGTTTTAAGAAAACCGCTTTTTTCAAATTGCAGAAAGAAAACTAAAGTTATTTTCTTTTCGGAAAGAAATAAATATGGCAGATCTTACGAGAGCACACAAATTTTTCCAATGAATTTTTCTATCTTTGGGAAAGGAACTGACAAAAACCAGCGGAAAAATTGAAAAAAAAAAACGATTTTTTTCTGAAATTTTAAAACTATAGAAAGCAAAGAATTGAAATGGCGTAAAATCCCAAGTAACACAACAGCGCTCTGTTAACGCTTTTGTAAGCGCTATGTGATACTTAGGATTCCATAAAAGACACGTACTTAATCGACAAATAGGTTCAATTCCAACCTTTACTCCATTATGTATATTACTGATGTATAAGAGATTGATTATATAAAAAACTAAAGATGAGTTGAAGCACAACATGATATTATGTCCCAATTCGAAACAACTATAAACAGAAAAGAAATAATTTTCTTTTCCAATTCTTTTCCTTTTTTCCTCTTTCCCCCCTTCCTCCCCTTACGTTCTGGGTGTAAACATTTCGTGCGAGGTTTATATGAAAAGGACTAGGAGAGTTTCAGTATTATTATAGTTCAGTGATCGCAGCCTGTGAATATGAAACGAAAAAAATAGGAAATGGAAAATAGATTGTAAAAAAATTGAAGAGGTAAAATGAGCTAGGGTGGATTAAAGATCACGATGTCACGAATAAATTCAAATAAAGGGAAGCTTCAACCGTATTTATGTAAAATAAAAATAAAAAATATATATTTGTAATACATAATATTGATAAGATTGGTTGAATCTGACAGAATTAATACTACAAAAGATAATTAAGATTTATTTAACATAAACTACCCCAGATAGCAAAATGTCTGCAGTCTTCTAGCAGACTGTCAGCAGATTCGAGAAAAAAATGACGGCAGCCTACCATCAACTGCGCTAACTGCGCATTAGACTTGTGTGGGCTTGTGTTCTGTTAACATCGCCTATTGACATAATGTGAAGGCAAATTGTTGGCAGAAACTGAGCAGATCCTGCCAACATTATCTGATTCTGTCATGTTTTTTTCTAGCAGTCTGTCAACAGTATTATGTACACCCAAGGACTTCGATTCTTTCCCTCGGAAATTTTCACAAACTGAGAAATGACCACCAATGACCACTTTTTTTTACAATAGACCTGTTCTTTTTGACTAAACTTTTGCACCAGTTCATCTTTCTTCCTCTTCTTTCCTTCTGAAGAGAAAAGGAAGAAAAGTGAAACTGGTGCAAAAGTTCAGCTAAATCCTATTAATGTCCGTGCGCGATTAACGACACGACTTAAATCTTACGTTCACTTAATAACTAAATTTGACGTAAAAACGAAATAACCTGAATTTTTGGAAGTTTTAAAAAGGTAACCGAGGGAAAGAATCGAAGTCCTTGGGTGTATGTACATCTAATTCTGTAATAATTCTGTTGCTATTTTGTTGGCATAGTATGTAACAGACATTTAAAAAATCTACTTTCTCTACAGACTTGGCTATCTGGGACCTTAACAATAATTTATCTGCTGATTATATAATGTGTCATTTCTCTTTCGACGAAGTGATTTTGGTCCACTCGATACATTGAGGGGCTTACGATTTGCCAGTTAAATTAAAAAATTTCCAACACAAAGTGACAAAATGTACCTCTCTGAATTATTTTTGTATTATTTGCCTAAGTGTACGTATAGAAACGTATTCTTAGCGCGTTTGATGTTTGATGATGGATCGTTTCGATAGGAGCATGATTGGTTTGCCGGAATAATTATCGGTAACCAATGACAAAACGATATTATTAATTGACGATAGTATTTAACACCGAATTCATTTGCAATCCATTTCGGAAGGCTAACGATGTATGTTATATCACGTGTTCACGAATTTGACGGAAAAACACTTGTAGAATGCAATTATAGATGGATATGTATATGCGTGTGTTTATGAGTTATGGGCGTGTGTGTATGTATATGTGCGTGCAAATAACAACTGTTTGCAATATTACATCATGAGACGAAGTGTCTCTTTAATATTTGAATGCACTGTGGTTTCGGTAATGGATGTATTCAAACACGAATATAAATAAAGTTTGTTAATTAAAATATTTCAGCTCCTTATTACTTTAAATATATTTATGCGTATACTTTAATTCTGGAAAAGGATTTTCAAATCAGTAAGAGAGAGAAAAAGTAATTGTTATACAAAAATTATATGGTTTAGTCGATAATACAGACGACTTTAGGATCTCTTTAAGAGCAAATTTTGAAAATGGGACATATGATATGGGCTGCGGTCCACTTGACGCTACAAACGCTTCGAAGCGTTTGAGCGACCAATCAGAACAAAGAATTTTACGAATTGACTAATCAAAGAATGCTTCGAAGCGTTTGTAGCGTCAAGTAGACCGCAGCCATGGTTTACTGTTAGGAGATTCTGCATACCCTTTAAAACAGTATCTTCTCTCGCTACTCCATTAATAAATCCAAACTGCTGTGGAGCAACTCTATAATGAATCACATATTCGCACTCGGAATAAAACATCGTTTTGGCATTTGGAAAAGAAGATTTCCGATCTTAGTCCTTGGGATGCGATACCATTAATTTGAATAGAGTAATGATTGTTATTGTTGCAACAGCAGTGCTTCATAACATTGTTAAACATAATAATGAAATAGAACCAAATATCGATCCAGATTTGAATTTACCTATGCCATAGGATCAAATGTTAGCAGAATGCAACATTACCATACAGCACAGAAAAATTGCAAAATGATTGCAAATATATTTCATTGCAATGTTGTAATATTACAAATAGATTGCGCAATGTATTTGCAACATTGTTGCAATGTCATAGCATCATAAAAATGTTCGCCTTCAGTAAGATTGCGCTGTAATATCGTAGCAATGTTGCAGCGCAATATATTTGCAACTATTATTAAAAATAATTCTTTTATTATTATTGAATATAATTTGAAATATAATTTGACATAAATAAAAAAATGCAGAAAAAGAACTAATCAATATATATTTTATAATTATTAGATATATTTTATACTTAATAGCAAATTTTATATGCAGATATATATATATATTTTTTAATTTTACATATGTAGACATATCCCCTACAGCACGAAATATAGTAGCGATATTGCAGCAGTATTATTTTGAAAGATTGTAATATTTCATAAAACATTGCTGCAATATTGTAGCAATATTCCTATGTCCGCAAAAATAAAATATTGCTATAACATTATGCAATATTTCAATAATTATTCTAGTTCTATTAATTGCTAATTAATTGCTAATTGCATATTATTGTTTAGTATCATATTCCAAAATACATACGATAAAAGTTACGATCAAAAAATATTCGGGGGCCTAGAAAGCACATCCAAGGCTATGTTCCGATTCCCACCTGAATGACCCGAGTGCTATCCAAGCATCATTCCATCCTTGTTATTTACTGAACATTAAACAAGGATGACATGGCACCCGAAGAATACCCTGGGGTGCTTTCCAAAACTTTACTCTGAGTAAGAGAGTTAAATGGTTGTTCCGAAATACGGAGTAATGTACTATATGGGCGGAGCCTATTCCAAAACTCGTAGTAAATGTATAGAGTTAACTCTGGTCAACTCTCTCAACCATCATATAAATGGAGAGGGCAAAGATTTAGACAGCGACACTGTCCAACTGCATACATCATGTTATCCCTTCCATCATGATACTGGCCCATAAATATCGGTCTTTAAACAAAGTTAATGATTCCTGATTGATTACAGTAACCCGTCATATGTAACAGACAAATACAAGTGCGAATTTTAAGCATAATGTTTAAAAAATGTTTAATAAAAATGTTTAATGCGAAAATAATTTTTTAAATCCTCAAAAGATCAAATATTAAATCTTCACAAGATATTTTAATTTATTTCCTAGAGTATTAATTATTAATATATTTGATTAAAATTAAAAAATTACAAATATGAAATATTTACTGGATTAAAAGCTCCAAATTCATATCAAATCATACGTGAGTAAAAATATGATAGAAGTGAAATCTTGCACATTATTACAAATTAAAGTAAACGTTTTATACATTTCCTCTTAAATTTTATATATTATTAACCTATAGTATTCAATATTTTATTTGACCAAAATGAAATTTAAAAGATTCACATATAACTGTATAAATCATTGGACTTATGAAAGAAAAAATACTATGCATCTCTCATATCAATGTATTAATAACAAAATTTGCAGCATAATATTAATTCTGTTACAATTGTCTGTAATTGAGTTAAATGCTCAAGTTTCCATTGATATCTTAAATAATTAAAGCGTCACACGATATAACTAGAAGCTATAAAAACATGTTGACTAATTCGAAGCAAAGACTATCTTACTGGTAGCACCAAAATAATAAAAAAACCTCTGGGAATCCTTTTGATTTTTGTAACAGTTTTTATTTTTTGTTAACTGTTACTTGTATTAGCAAGTATCATGGGGCGTATGTCAAGTATTTGTAATGTATAGTTATGCTTCATTGTTTCTGCGCCGTGCATTTCTTTTGACTCATCAGTTACTTATTTATTACAACTTTGTTGTTGTATGAAATATCTGAAAAAAGTGATATCAAATGTTATATTTTATTTTCATATTAATAAATCCGCAAAAATATCGATACATCAATTATAAATACCTTAGCATTCATTCTTAAGCTTCAGGTGTAGCTAATGGAGCTTCTTTTTTTTCTTCAATAATAATGGCGTCTTTCTTCTCACCATTAGGTTTATCATTTTCATCCAATTCCTTTTTGGGAGCCACCTTTAAATATCGCAAGCAATATTTATACGTTAAATATGCTTATACACACACAAATAATATACTTAATTTTATATTTAAAAATATTAAGAAGCTAATGCGGTTATTTATAACCACATATAATGTATTAATATGACATTATTATCATATAACAATCGTGTAACATTTAATTTTATATATATTCATAATTTTTAAAATAATAAAGACCAAGATTAATTGCAATATCAATGAAATGAGATTATAGTTTAATACAAATACAACATAATATATATAACAATACAAATTATATATTATACATATATATATATATACACACACATACAGGATGGTCCACTTAAATCGACCATCTGAAATACCTCGCTTATTTTTGATGATATAAAAAAATGTTTCAAATGAAAATGGAACGGTTTTGGGAGAGACGTATCTTGGTCATGTTATTTCTTTTATAGGTGGAGGCACTAAAAAGATGTGGAGTGGCCTTCATCTTTTTGGAGCCTCCATCTAAAAAAAAAAACATGATCAAAATATGTCCTCGAAAACCGTTCCACTTTCATTTGAAACATTTTTTTATATCATCAAAAAAGTAAGATATTTCAGATGGTTGATTTAAGTGGACCGCCCTGTATATATATGGAACTGTAGCAGCTCACATAACATAATATAATGTTTATGGAAAGTTCACTTTTCAATAAATGCATTAAATTTTGTAAAATTTTATTTTTTAAATTATCTTATCAATTATTATTTAATAAATATATCATCAGGTATCATTTTAATTATCCCTTTACCTCTTCTTTGCTAGCTTCATCGAAGTTCTCTACTAAGTCAGGCACCTCGTCGTCCTCTTCCAATGTAGTTTTTCCAACCGCACTTCCAGCAACTGTACTCGCTAATCGTTTCAGTTGTGTTAAACCCTCTGGGCCAAGTTGGCTCAATATTCCTGGTAGCATTTCAGTTATTTGTTTATTTTCTCCGTGACCAGTGATAGCAAATGTATTAGCGGACAGACTAGCCTGAGCTTTCGGATTATTAAAATGAATGACTGTGCCATCATCTTTAATCATATTAACCTCCTCTATCCCAGGAATTGTATTTACAGAAAGTTTTTTTAGACAACTCTGTAACTTTTTGTCATCTGTAGCAGCAGTTGCATGTACAACCTGTAAAAAATAAAAAATAACATAAGCACAAAAACGTTTAATTCTATCCCAAGATATTAAATTGAATGTTAATGTTGCATGTAACATCGTTCAAATATATAATAGGGTACAAATGTTTACTTCTTTCTTTCTTGGTAATTTAATTACAATTCACATATTACGAGTGCTCTAACGAATAAAAAAATAGTTATATATCTTCAGTTAATATTTATTATATAAATCAGATCAAAAGCCAATTACTAGAAAAAACTATAAAAATAATTGTTTGACAAATCTGCATGACATCAACAAGAAATATGTGAAACATAAAGAAATAGACAGCTAATAAATTCGCATTTATTTTGCTCTTGTAATAAAAATCTTGCGATGTCACGCGTACTATTAATTCCAATTTAAGAATGCATATTAATGTTGACGGTGGATATGGATCACTTCGAAAGGCGATAAAGCAAAGTGCATGAGCAAAGTTTTTCTACGTTAAAAAAGAAGAATCAGATAACTGAAATGTATAATAAGACTCTTACCTTCTTCTTGCGTCGGGGTGTACCCTTGCCGCCGATTCGCACTTGAGCCTGGAGTTTCTTCAGCTTCTCGGGATTCATGCTTTAACCTCTGTCGTGCACGAGGGGGCGGGCACGCACAAACGAGGGGTGACTGCGACTAGTACGTTGCTACACGTGAAATTCTTCCTCTTGTACGAGTCGACGTCGTGCGAGCGCGGAGACCGGCTAAACACAACACGTGCTCACCGATCCGTCCGAGATGCTCGAGAAAATGGAAGCGTACGTTCACTCGCTCGCTTGCGATACCTAATCTACGTCAGAGATCGTTTCCGGACGGCGGCGGCGCACGAAGCGCTTCCGCCAGGCGCCAGTTAAGCCCGTTCTACAATAGAGTCGCAAGAAATTAACTAAGCCGTAAAATTAACTAATCATAATCGATTATTTGTTTCATATCAAATTGTAACTACGTAAGCTGTAATTGTAAGCTGGTTCTACATTAGCCGCATTGCAGCTTCGCAAGCGTTGCGGTCCAATCAACGTCAAGCTAGCTCGACTATGATTGGACTGCAACGCTTGCGACACGCTTGCGATGCTGCGATGTGATCAATGTAGAACCAGCTTTAAGTCCATTCTACATTAAGCTGGTTCTACATTAGTCGCATCGCAGCGTCGCAAGCGTTGCGGTCCAATCAACATCAAGCTAGCTTGACTCTGATTGGACCATAACGCTGCGACACTGGGTGCATTCAGTACTACAACCACTCAGGCGCTCACTGAGCGCTCAGTGAGCTCTTGTATCTGTTTGGTCTATATTTTTAGTTCTAACGGAATATGCCAATAAGATGCAAGCGCTCACTGAGCGCTCAGTGAGCTCTTGTATCTGTTTGGTCTATATTTTTAGTTCTAACGGAATATGCCAATAAGATGCAAGCGCTCACTGAGCGCTCAGTGAGCTCTTGTATCTGTTTGGTCTATATTTTTAGTTCTAACGGAATATGCCAATAAGATGCAAGCGCTCACTGAGCGCTCAGTGAGCTCTTGTATCTGTTTGGTCTATATTTTTAGTTCTAACGGAATATGCCAATAAGATGCAAGCGCTCACTGAGCGCTCAGTGAGCTCTTGTATCTGTTTGGTCTATATTTTTAGTTCTAACGGAATATGCCAATAAGATGCAAGCGCTCACTGAGCGCTCAGTGAGCTCTTGTATCTGTTTGGTCTATATTTTTAGTTCTAACGGAATATGCCAATAAGATGCAAGCGCTCACTGAGCGCTCAGTGAGCGGTTATCGTTCCGAATGTAACCATTTTGCTATTTTCGTTTCAAAATGACTTCAGGTATTCGAACTTCTTTTTTTTTCCAATACTGTTTGAATCTATCCGGGCACATTAGGCTGATTGCGATTAGAGATTTATCGAAAAGATCCGGCTGTATTGTTTCTCGAAATATTTAAATTACGATTAGATTTATTTATCATGGTGTCAAAGAATATTTTCTGTTTTCAAAGCATTCCTGAAAGAAATAAAAGAAATTAGAAAAAAATAATAAGATTTTATTCTGTAAAATTACGACTTCATGATTTTGGAAAATCGATACTATACATATGTATGCATATACTATTATATAGATCTATTCTTTGTAACTGTGCTATTGTACACTCGTCTTGATACATAATACATAAATATTTCTTAACGTTCTGACCGTTATGGCGCTTCTTAACTTAAAGCATTATGTTTAACATTAGCGGTCTTTCAATCTTATTATTATAAATATTTCAATTTTGACAAAAGTGAGAACAAATTTTTATAGCGGAAAAGACTCCTACACATCGATTATATCTGTTTGCCATGATATCGACGTCCTATAAGACACATACAAATTGATGTACATTGCAGATACTGATAAAAAATAATAAATTCGATATGATAAAAGATGTGACAAAAGCGTATGAAATATTTACTCTCTTCTTTAGATTCTCTTTAATTTTTCGAAGACACATGAGACGAAAAGTTCTATGCATTCAAAAAATCGAGTAGTTTGTACAAGAGAATTGTAATGTCGCATAAGTTTTTTTTAAATATTATACAACTATTTATTACAAAAAAACTAGATAACTTCAAAAAGAGATATGAAAAGTATATTGAAAATGTCAAAATTATTTTAAATAAATAATAGAAAATATTTATTGTTTAAATAATATAAGGGAAGCAAGCAAAGATTACCAAAGATTATAAATTGATAGCAAAGATTATGATTATATATTTAACATCTATTTATTATATAATTTTAATCATAAAATTATATAATATACTTGTATGCGTGTAAAATTTATATACAGGGTGTTTCCAAATTAAATGGCAAAACTTCGGGAGCGTGTAGAGGAGTAAAAAACTAAGAAAAAAAGTCCTATAGACATATGCTCGTTT